TTAAAATAGAGAAGCTGTAGTATATGAACACCCAGTATAAATACAGTTAAGTTTAAATATGGATAATTTTCATCATTTGAATCAAAGAATCTACTTATATTACCTTATTATTGGGAATGATATTAATGGTTCCAAAGTTATAGGACCAATTAAAAATTTGCCCTTGCTATGTGAAAGGCTATGTGCAAGATTAAGTGTTTCAATCCCCTCATAAGAGAAATAGTATGCTGCACAGCCCTGGCCTATCCCTTGTTCAGTAATTTCAGTTACGTCTGACTCTTTGTGACTCCATTTGGGGTTTTCTTGGCAAAGATTCTGTAATGATTTGCCATTTACTTCTCTACCTCATTTTACAGATGAGGAAACTGAGGCAAACAGAGTTAAGTGACTTGTCCAGGGTCACATAGCTAGTAAGTGTCTGGGGCCAGATTTGAACTCAGGAAGATGAGTCTTCTTGACACCAGGACTGGCACTGTATGCACTGTGCCATTTAGCTGTTCCTGACCTATCTCTTAATCACAGCTATCTTTGACAATATGAATAAATTGTTCCCCAGGGAAACAAGAGAAGAGAACTTAGATAATTTGGCACTAGAAAACACCAGTACTGGGGGAAAAAACAATTCAAAGTTTTCTTCTCGTTCCACTATAGTAATTATTGTCATCTTAGTATATAAAGGACTTTTTTTCCCTCTCAAAATGGGTGACAAAGGATCCTAACATTTGCATTCATAAAAGATGAAACTTTACTTTTCTCACCTGGATTCATTTTAGGTTCTTCCCTTGCACTAGGTTAAAAAAAAAAAAGAAAAAAGATTATATACAGGATCTGTATAATGGGTCACTTTTCTCAATGAAGTCTAGATTTTTAGTATCTATATATTTAGTATTCTAGACTTCAGCATCTATAATAGTAGCTCTTTCCAATTAAATTGAGCCTTTATACATTATAAAAGTTAAAGACATTATGGCTGTACAGAAATTGTTTTTCTATGTTTGCAGTAAATATAAGAAAAAAACTTGCCTCCACACTCCCAAAATTAGTTTGTCTCATTAAAAGTTAGCATTTACATTTCATTTAGATCCATAGTATGTTCAAAAGGATGAAAGAAAGTATTTGTGGTGTTTGGCCCTTTCTATTTCTGAGGCCCTTCTAGGGTCTGTAGTTCCATATTTTCCCCAAAGCTTAGACCCCATCTTATGGCAGGTCAAAATAAGAACTAAAACATTACTAACTGCCTACACTATATCTCAAATGGTGCCACAGGCCACACTGTGGTACTTTGCTAGCTCAATCTATTCACTCGCCCATTATTTAGTGAACTTAGAGACTCAAGTCTCTGTGATTTGGGGATTTCTACATTTACTGTTATCCAACCATCTGTACTGCTACTATTTGATCACATTTATTAAAAGAAACATGATGAGAGGTTATAGTTATAGATTTCTATTAGTATTAAAACAAATTTTTTAAAAAATCAAGAAAAAAACTTTCTGTGCAGATAAAAAAAAACCTCACTTCTCCCAAAGGGTTGGCCTATCTATCTACCTACCTATCTCTCCACATATATGCATGTGTGTTATATATATATATATATATGTATGTGCACATATACATATAATTACATGCATATTTATATTGAGAAGAGATTAATCCTCAAAACCATAACTTCTACTACTGAATTCTGTCCACTAAAAAGCAACAAGAAAAAACAACTGACAAAATATTGCCCATTTGTCTGGTAGAAAAATGATAGGAAAAAATAACCAGACAAACAACAAAAACAACAATGAAGCCTGCAAATTAGTTAGAATGTCTGTGCTCATTATATTCTCTGTTATATTCCCAGGAGATGTAAATGCATCTAAAGTACATGTCATGAACACTCTGTCTAGCACATGCTGCCTCAAGGCAATGAGGAATGTATCTAGTTCCATTTCATCACCATTGGATAAACTCAAAGACTCCTATTTTGAGGATTGTTCAACTATTCAAATAAACTGCTGACACTGGTCCAGCAAGTCAGAACCTAAAAAAAACCCAAACCCAAACCCACAGTTTAGCTAGCACAATGGATAGAATGCTGGGCCTGGAGTCAAGAAGACCTAAGTACAAAACCAAGTGGCCTTGGGGTAAGTCACTTAACCTCTTTCTGCTTCAGTTCTCTCAAATGAAAATGTGGATAATAACGGGCACTTACCTAGCAGGGTTGTCATAAGGATCAAATGAGCTATTTGTGAAGTACTTAGCATAGTGCCTAGCACACAGTAAGCGCTCAAGTAGTAGTGTGTAGTAGTAGTAGTAGTAGTAGTAGTAGTAGTAGTAGTAGTAGTAGCAGCAGCAGCAGCAGCAGCAGCAGAGTAGTATTGGTTAATACTTGTTATCAGATACTTCATGTCTTTTATGTAATATTTGGAAGGAATTGTGAGGACTTTGCAGGGTGATATATTTTTAAAGAGCTCTTTGGTTATGATTATTGATTACGCTTTAACTTGTGCCATATTTAATTTGGGTAAAGTTTCTGACTGAATACATAACGCAGTTATGTTATTTCATTTAAGTCACCACTAAAAACTAGGAATAACCTTTATTTAATGTAAGTGCTTTTGAACACCATATGGGGGAAGAAATAACTAAATGAAAATTGTTCACGTATATGTGATGGGGGTGGGGAGACAACAGCATTTTGTGACATGTGGCATGTCACTCAGGGAAGTAAAAGGCCCATCATATCCAAAATGCCAGCTTGTGATATTCCTTTGCCTTCTCCTTCACTAACAGACATGCCACATGTCACTAAATGCTGCAACCTTCTCTAAAAATGCCATCCATATTGGTCAACCATAGTATATAAGAACTACTGATTTGTCATTTTAATTTATGACTACAAAACAAGGGGAAACCAACACTGGCCAAATTTTGCCCTCAGATATTAAGTATGAATGATCAATAAACATATAAATTGCTTTTTTTCCATATTTGAAAAATAAGGTGTGCTACTGTCAAATATTCTAGACAAAATAGTTTCACAAAGGAATAATTTTTTTTAAGACAAAAATATTCTAATTTAGGAAATGATCCATTTTGGGCATGATGGCATATTTATTGCGACAGGAGAGGCTGAGACTGATGAATTTCTTGAGCCAAAGAGCTCTGAGCTGCAGTAAGCTCAGCCAATTAGGTATTGGTATTAAATCTGACACCAATATGCTAAGCTCTTGGGAGTGGATGCCTAAGGAGAGAAGCCCTGGCTCAGGCAGGAAACAAGAGAAGGTTGAAGTTCTCATACTAATTGGTACTAGGATTGGGCCCTTAAGTGGCTGTACTACTTCCAGCCTAGTCAAGATAGGGAGACCCAATCTCAGGGCAGGGAGTGGAGGGAGTGTCCACTGTGCTTATGCGAAAAGCACCAAACATTAAAGTGTTTAAAACATATTCTTTTCGGCAATGCAATTAAAATTATGATAGTGATAATACCTTATATACATATGCCACTTTTCAGAGGAAAAAGTGTTTTCCTTGCATTATCTGATTTTGTTTATACAACAACCTTTGGTGACAAGTAGGGAAGCTATCAGTATCCCCACTTACAGAGAGCTCAGAGAAATTAGGACTTTTTTAAGGTCATGCCCTTTACATACCTCATCAGAGATGGAGCTTGCTCCATGTTGTTTCCAATGGACATAGCCTATACAGTATGAAAACACTTTTATTCCATATATATTATTCATAATTATCATGGGGAAAGCTATATATACCTAGATTCATATTTATATCCTTGCTATAGGAATATTTGTTTTTTCATATAACACAATATATATCACAATATCTTATGAGATAAAATGAAGACTTGCCCCCCCAGAGGCTGTAATTGGGAACACTGGGTTGAAGTTGCAAATAGAGACACGTTTTTCCTTGGTGTGAGAAGTAGGGCTCCTTGGGAGGTAGAGGATTCCCCTTCACTGGAGATCTTCTGGCAAGATGATCACTTGGCGGGCATTTTGCAGAGAAGACTCTTGTACCAGTCGAGTTGAGACTCAGTGGCCTCTTGAGTCTCTTCCAGATCTGAGATGCTCTAATTTAATTTAGTAGTCCTTAAGCTTTTCAGTCTACATACGACATAAGTATATAAGTAAAAGAACAAAAATCCTACCAATCCCAGGGGATTTTTGCCCAGGTAGAGAGCTGTTACTGCTATCATATGCTTAAATTGTTAATTATTGTGCTATTTAATGCAGACTCAAATGTGTAGTGGAAGATCTATGTTATCAAAAGCCCCAACAAAATTTATATGACTATATCACTTGTGTTTAGAACCAGGCTAGCAAGGATTTGGAAAAAGAATTATTTAGAGGCAGCACAGGGTTCTGGAAAGAGTGTTGGACTTGGAGTCAAGAGCTGTGAGTGCCAATCCTGACTCAGATTCTTAATTAGCTATGTAATCTTGAGCAAATCACTCAGTTTTTCAGATCCTATATATAAAATGGGGTTAATAGCCTTTCTGGCTAGTTACCTCATAGTAACAAAAGAGAATGTTTTGGAAACTTTAACACCTCATATAAATTTGAGTTATTTTTTGAACATTTTTCTGTGCTGTTTTAGTAAGTGAAAGAAGCAACAAGAAATAGAAAACAGAAATGTAATCTCCCATTAAATTGCTAAAATTAGGCATATGGTAAATTAGGGAATATGTATAGCTAGGTGGCACAGTAGATAAAATGCTGGGCCTGAAATCAGGAAGACTCAAATCTGGCCTCATACACATTAGCTGCACACCCTGGGAAAGTCACTTAACCCTGTTTGCCTCAGTTTCCTCATCTGTAAAATGAGCTGGGGAAGGAAATGCCAAATCACTCAAGTATGTTTGCCAAGAAAATTCCTAAATGTGGTCACAGAGTCAGATATGACTGAAATGACTGAACAACAACAAAATTAGGGAATGGGTTTTGAGGAATATTTAACTAGAAATTAATTCGTAATAACTAAAAAAAAGCCAAGAGTATGATTTGAAAATTCTATGCTTTATTTTGCTAATACAAACTTTTCAGTTCTGTGTATTTTTATTTATTGTGTCAATATGTAAATCCTTGATGCTTTCATAATGCCATTAAAAAGTTCTTCATAAGCTCCTGTACTGGTTTACCAGGGTACTTAATATTTCATTTTTTAAAAATATGCATTCTTTGGAAATTAAAAAGTCATCAATTTTTAAAGTACTGAATTTGTCAAATTTATTTTCTGATAAATGAGTCAAGAATAACTGTAAAAAAAGATTTGTATAAGTGGAAGCTTTTATAATATATACAATTTATTCTTGCATAAGTTATTTCCTCTTTGAGATTTAATTGAGTTATGTCTTGAGAGGTGAAATGTAAATTTGTATAAAGCAAAATTTCAAAAACTTTGGATCATTTTTATTTGGAAGAATATGCATGAAAAAGATTTTTTTTTACATATTCCTAACAAGAGGCGCAAACTGATACTTGAAGCAGCAGGAACAACATAATTAAAGTAGAATTCCAACTTTGTATTAATAGAGTGATATACTAATTAAAATCAACATCAACTGAACTTTCTATTTACACCAGTTCAGACAGCCCAAGAGGCAAAGAACTCGATTTTAGAGGCATATGTGACTCTTCGAGCTTCTGTCATCCAGGTGCCATTTCTGAAAGAGCACATGTGCACTGAACAGTTGGCGAAGAAAGAAAAAGATGACTGTAAATGTATGTGCAGATAGAATCTATGATGAAATAAAATATGCTTGTGGAAAAAGTAGCATTTTCTTCTAAAACACAAAATTTCCTGGAACTTTTCCTCCAATCATATAAGTATGAATGCAATCTGAGTAGGTGTCCATAAATAAGAATAAACTTTAATTTAGAATTTCAATCCATGTGATTGGAAAGAAACAAAGGATGTGCTGATCAGAAAACAATTCTGATTTTTGCAATTGTACTGGGAAATTGGACCAAGAAGAGAAGCTCCATTGTTTTTGTTTGTTTGTTTGTTTGTTTTATTTTGTTTGTTTTTTCTTTTTTTTAATAACTAAGCAGTATAAGTAGAGAAAACTTGTCTTTTCTGCAATATAAGGAAAACAACAACAACAGCTGGGAAGAATGTCCAGTGCAACTTGACATATTCCATTACAAGATGAGGATCTTTGCTTGATATTCATTTAAACCTTAAAAATGTTCCCCAAGTGAAGAATAGCTGAAAGATCCTGAGGAGTTTCATGCTTTGAAAAAGTTCTGAATGTTGTTGGTGAGAGCATTCCCAAATAGTGTTATCCAAGGTATTCCCTTTTCCAAAAAAGGACCAAGAGCCAATGATCAATGCACTGCTAATTTCCATTCACCTCCAGGACAGGGTCAACCTCAGCAGATAATTTAAGATAAAAGAAAGCATAGAAAGCCAGCAGGAGTACCAATATAGCTGCAAGGACAAGGCCAACTTCCTAGAGAAGAAAAAAAAAACAGACTTAAAAACAATGAAAAGAATCATTTAACACTAGTGAAACCCAGTAAGTCCCACTTATTTGTGTATACCTGCTAAAACTAGGTTTCCAATTCAATCTTTAACCTTTTGTGAACTGAAGAGAGGTTATCATGAAACCTTCTTACCTATGTTTTACCTTAGGATTGTCAGAAGAATGCTAAGGGTTTGAGTGGGTGGGTTAATATACTACTATTACTACTACACTTTCTTCTTTAATTTCTGCTCTTAGCCAGAGAAGTATGAGAATACAATGTGTTTTGTATTTATAGGGTACTGCATTCTACTGGAATACTCCTACCACAATGATCATCAATAAGTCTACTATAGTAGCTGCAATTCACAGTTAATTTCATTCTTTGAAAACTGCTTTTTGATGTAAAAATCATTCCATCTTATTGGACTGTAGCCTTTATCCCATAACTGATATGAGTTATAGTTCATCCTTCTTAAACACCACTCAAATTTTTAATATACAATCTCTAAATTCCATAGTTTATAACATAGTGTAACAAAGGTAAACCATGTTATTTTCTTACATGTAGTACAATCCAATTTAACACACTCTCTGCCCCAAACATCCTGTGAACCACAGAGAATAATTTTGGATAGTTTATTATGGCTTGATATGAATTATAGCCATCATTTACATGGGGAATTATGGCAAAAAAACCCCCAGTGATTATGATGATTTATATCAGTTCTTCTGTAGGAATACAAACCATGTCTCAATAAAGCAAGCCAGTATATTTATTCTCCCCACATGACCACAACATGAAGGCCTCGTCTCAAGATTAACTCATCATTAGACAAATAGAAAAAGGAAAGGGCAAATAGGCCATCCTAAAATTCAGAAGGAGTTAAAACTCCCTTGGGGTTTTTCACTTATAAATCATGTCCACAACCTGGAGTTTTTTTATAAAGAGATGGGCATTTGCATTTCCATAAATGAAGTTTTCCCCCCCGGAAGAATGTTAGCTTAGTAATGCAACAGATACTACAACCAAACTTTTAAAAATATTAAAATCAATTTTATTTATTGTTCAAACATGGATTTTCTACTGTACTGCTGAAATTACAAATGGTCACTTTGGATATTTACCTAGGTTACTGTATTTATTTTGGGTTATCAAAATAAATTTCAATCAAAATAATATTGTGGCTGAAAAGTTAATATGTGATTTCATAAGATAATTTTTAGAAACAATATTGCATTTGCTAATATAATATGTCAAATGAAAATTCATTTTTCTTTGTTACCACTGGAGTACTTTGGCATCTCAAAAGGGCATGGCAGCATCAGACAGGTTTCATTTATTTTCGTGTATCCACAGCTGTGCTCCCAGACCCATCTGGTTACACAGCTACTAATTTTAAGCGGATGTAATAAACAAGTGACACACAACTCCGTGAGCTCCATCTGCTCTGTGTAGTGGACAGCAAAAGTGCTTGATGGCTTCCATTCACACTGATGTAGTCCAGGACCAAAGTTTTCTTTGGCTTGGCAGCCATCACTCACCCTTCACCGTTAATCACATTGCTCCTCATCTCTGCCTTAAAAATGTTTTCCCAACATGCACATCAAAGGTTTCTGTATCTGATGATGCAATATAAATGTTCTCAGGTTTGGAAAACAAAGAAGGATTACAGAATCTACAAACTGTCTTGTGGATATTCATCCTGATAGTGAAGATGCCTGTTATTTCTACCATGGCTTCAATTACATAGGTATATGTAATATACACATGCATACATGTGCCTGTATACACTTCTCTCTGTGTACTTATTTGCATTTATCATTCAAATTATGATGCTTACTACTTGTGTGATTTTGGACAAATCGCTTAATTTCTTTGGGCATCAGTTGCTTAACCTATAAAATGAAGGCATTATACTAGATAACTTCTAAGGTTACTTCCAATTCCCTTACAGACTCTGAAGTCTTGGAATTGATAGAGCAAAGGGTTTGGAGTCAGGAAGGCTTGTGTTCAAATCCTGTCTCAGTCACTGAAGAGCTATGTGATCCTGGGCAAGGCAATCACTCAGCCTCAATTTCTCCATCTGCAAAATGAAGGGACTGGACTCAACGTCGTCTAAAGTCTCTTCTAGGTCTAAATCAATAATCTCATGATTCCTTCTGGTCCTATACTTATAAACTACATCTTCATAGTTAAAGGGGATCTCAGAGGTGTGGCAATATGATAGATCAGGGATATTTAATCTAGCTCAAACCTAGTTCCAGCCATTTTGTTGTGGAGTTTAGCACCATGGAGGCTAATGTTTTGAGCACTGAACAGTTTGAAAAATTGGGTCATGAATGCCTCTGAGCACACTGGTGGAACTAGTGATAATCTGAGGGCCTATATGCATTAAAAGTCTTTCAAAATGAATGTTTTTAGGATCAGATCACAAAGACAGTACCAGAAAGCCATTTCAAGGCCCAGAGCTTCAAAGATTTAACTTTTCAAATCTGTTGTCCCAGGGAGTTAGCAGGATCTGGCTATTATTTGAATATTGCTTTACTTGGATGTTTTATTAGTGTAACTGGAAAATTTTAAGATTAATTTTAAGATCTAGAATAGCTAGAAACCCTCAAAGCCTCCGAGACAGGAAACTCTGGAATCAAGTCCAGTTTGTGACACATACTGGTTGTTTGACCCCAGGAAAGTCCCTTTACCTATCCTTGCCTCAGGTAACTTTCTAAGATTATAAAAGTTGCAGAATGGTTGCTGATCTGCTTTGTAAGGAGATAGTTTCTTCACTGGGAATGCCTTTTTGTGATAAAACCATACGTCCAACCAAATTGTTACAGTAGCTGTATCAGCTAAAATCTTACTTTTGAAAGCAAAAGGTTAAATCTACATTTTTCTTCCTCTTAATAAAAGTAAACATACGGATGAATGAGTAATTGAATCCTTTAAAAAATAGCTATGATTCAATTTTAGCCACATTTTAATTTTTGGCTCAAAATCTTCTAATTAAAAAGCAACCAAAATGTAAACACCAGTTGCACAGATATTTATGACATTCCTTTTTTTATTGGGTCATAACTTTAGGTACTTTATGATATTCAAATTCATTTAAAAAAAAGATAACACAAATCTAACTTCTCATTTCAAATTAATTCTTTCAGTTGAATAACACATTTCCATGCCAATCCATAAACATTAATTGTATTAGTAGTCATATGACTTTAAATAAGGGCCAATAATAATAAATTTGATAAAAATAATAATAAATTTAAATAACTTATATGAATTTAAATAAGGGCCAAAAAACCTACAACAGATTATTAGATGTTTGAGCGTAGTCCATGAACAAGCACTAACATACAAAATGCCAGAGATTCTACTAAGCACTTGGTATACTCTTAAAGAAAAGTAAGGAATTCACAGTCTACTGGAGAAGACAACATGTAAACCATGATGCATATGTAAAGACATATTTGGTTTTTGTTCAGTCATGCCCAGCTCTTCATGATTCCACTTGGGGTCTTCTTGGCAAAAATAATAGAGTGGGTAGCCATTTCCTTCTCCAGTTCATTTTACAGATAATGAAACTGAGGCAAACAGGGTTAAGTGACTTGGCCAGAGCCACACAGCTAAAAAATGTCTGAGGCTGCATTTGATCTCAGATCTTCTTGACTCTAGGGCCAGTGCTCCATCTACTGTGCCACCTAACTCCCTAAATATAGGTAGATACGGATATAGATACATACATGCATACATGCACATATATACGTACATATGCAGAATGAGACAAAGACAGAGAAAGAAGAAGGGCAGAGAAAGAGAAAAAAGAAGGAAAGGAGAGACAGGAAATGAGAGAGAGAGAGAGAAAAAAAAGGAGAAAAGAGAGAAGAAGAAAAGACAGAGATAGAGACAGAGTGAGTATAAAGGCCTCTTATACAAAGAGGGTGGTTTTTAAGTTGAATCTTGAATGAAGCCAGGGAAACTGAGATTAAATTTTTGCACAGTGGTGTGTGCAAGAAATAGTGTGTAAACTAGTGTCATGAATCGACAGTGTATGAAAGGAGGGAAAGTATAAGAAGGTTGGAAAGCTGGGAAGGAGCTAGTTTGTGAAATGCCAGAGGACATTTCCATGTATTATTCATTTGATACATTTGTATCTACTTTGACACCTAGAATCAAGCCTTGTATGTAGTAGGTGCTCAATAAATGTTAAATGAATAATTTCATAATGATATTCAGAATCATTTCAGTTGTCAAAAGGCTATAATTCATAGGAATTAGTGAGGACCAAAGCAAACATTTTACCATCCTACAGCATATGAAAGCTTAAAAATGTTTTAAAAGACATCATTATAATTCATCTTAAAGAACAAGTTGTAAAAGGATAAAATATGACGTGATTATGGTCATTCTGGTTCAAATAGATAAGAGTAAAAACTTCGGATGCTTATTAGTCCTTAGCTGCTTTGCTGACATTATCAACATGGATAAAATCACTCATTGGGGAAATTAAAAAGCATTAAATGGCAATAGCTGAAAGAAACTTGGTTACTTTAAATCCTATGTTGAAATGACAAGGCAATCAAAGTTTGACAGGACAACCTAATTAGCGTGCCAGGTTTGAAATGCAGAATACCTCCAGGGGTCTGATTCTAAAAAAGTTTCACATCATTTTAATGGGCTATTCACATCAGTTTTCAAGCAAAGTAAACAATTTTTAAATGTTAAATCTTTTGTTTTCCACAGGTTGGCAACTCAAAATGACATGCCAATTTATTAAACAGGGGACACATAATGCTCTACTTTTTAAACTCTTCTATGCCATATTTTGTACTGCTCTTGAAATGGCATCAGGCATTTGCAATTACCAGAGTTCATCCTCAGCTCACTCTGAAGCCACATCATTACTGCCTTAAAATTTAAAAGTCATTCCCCAGTGGGTATTTGGGCTCATTGTTTTAACTTAAAGAAAGTGTATGTCACTAAATTCATAAATTATTTTCCTTAATTTAAATACATAACTCTTTAACTATGCTAAGAAGCATGAAGCTTTTGTTTCCCCAGATTGGCATCCTTTAGAATTAAGGACCAACCAATAAAAGATATAAAGGAGAGACATTCTTGTCCAGCACTTAGCACAGAGCCTGCCACATAGAAGGCATTTAATAAATACTTGTGGACTGCTAACTGGAGTAGGAGGGATACTCTTATCTCTTAAGAATCATCAATAAATTTAATACTCAGATTTAAAAAAAAATTAACTTAGATCTGTATGTACAATAAAAAGTTGAATTTTTTTTTAAAAAGGGCATGTCATGGAAATAACTTTTTAAAAAGGGGAGTGAAATTTCACATAAAAGAAATCAAAGAAAGGCTTTAAAAGGTTAATCATCTATCTTTTAAACAAAAAAGGCAATCTCCTTTTTCTCATTAAAAACTGACACACTGCACTAACGGAGGAGATTATGTTGTGAAAACATTCTGCAGCACGAGGCAATGCTTGATCAAGATCAGCAATCAGGAGCAAAAAGAAAGCCCTGTTTCGTGATTATAATAGCAAATTCTGGAAGACAACCAAATATATCATCTGGCAGCTCAACAGCTGTTACAGCCTGGTAGTAATACCTTGGCATTTGCTATAAGCTGTAATGTGGAAAAATTGATTTTTCATCTGCCAGAAACAAGAAAACACTCTTTTTTTTTAAACATTTTTGAAGTTTCTTTAAATAAAATATCTATATTGAGCAATTTTTATTTTGTATGTTTGACAGCAGGATTGCCAAGATAAAATAAATCATTAAGAGAGAAACTAACAAATACAGGTGAAAAGAAAAGAACAGAGTTAACAATGGAAATAAATAGAATTCAGCTAAACTACATTGTATACTAACACATTTGTATTGGGTTGCATTTGATATCTTATAGCCCAGACTAATATTAATTAACTTAGGTTGAACTGCATATATAGTTCCTAGGCAGTTAAAAATTTAAAAAAATCCTGAGAGACTAAATCTAGGATGTTTTTTCAGAGTTGAAAGAGAGGGTACTGGCATTTGTCATTAAGAATAGTAATAAGCTTCACAACAGCAAATATATTTTACTGATGAATCATCCAAAATACAGAGAGTAACAATTGGATTTTAAACAACTATTACAAATAATATCTTGAAAATGTAGAGAGTGACTAATATTATATACATCATTGAGGTTTCTGAACTATGTATATAGTACCTAAATAAGAAATAAATTATAATTCTAAGGGTATTATTACATTTGATTGACTCAATTAAATAAATTCATGTTTCATTTAAGTCATGGAACACTTAAAACCCTTTCAGATCTTTCTCCATTACTCAGGAGTTAGAAGATGCTTTAAATAAATGCAGTCTTTTATAAATATTTTAGATCTTGGCATTCAACATAAAGTTTGAAGTGAAGTTGCTCAGAAATCAGCATTTACTTGATTCATCTTTTAAAAAAGAAAGAACAAAAGGGGAAAGAGAGAGAGAAAGAGAGACACAGAGAGAGCGGTTGAGAGAGAAGTGACATGCATTCAGCAAATTCATAAAGTTATGTCTACCTTTATGCCTATTGCTGCTTTCTTGGCTTCTGCTTTTAACTTGGCTGCTCTTAAAACAGGTCTGTTTTTCTTGTAGTCCTGTTTACCTAGGGTAAAACAGTTTCAGAGAATGTTTGGATTACAATTTGGTCATGTTCAATAGTAGATTAAACAAGTCTTTAACAGAATGAAATAGGCACAATGTGACTGAAAACAGAAGAGGAACAAGAAGGTACTTTGAAAAAGGTATTAGACCATGAGTAAGGAGATCTAGATTCTAGCCCTGACCACTCCCTAGTAGTTTCAATCCTGGCAAGTAACTTAACCATAGTTTTTTCATATGTAAAATGAAAGAATTGGAATAGTTGTATAAGTCTATGCATAGAATCAGAATTTTGTGAACACCTACGAAACTTTTTCTCAACAGTAAAGGAAACATTTAGTTTATTCCTTTTTATGAAACAAATATGGTTCTTTTATCCAAACCAGGGAGGGATAAGGCAGATAAATGATAGTCTAATTTCATTAATGTTTATTTAGGCAAAAATTTCCAAAAGAATCTTAACATAGAGATTGCAGCAGTATACTCTCAAAATATTAAGAAAAAGTAGTTATTACAGAGATTCAAGAATGGTTTAACATTAGAAGAATTGAATAGCATATTTAACTATATGTATGAGATAAAGCCACATGATTAAATCAATAATGTGTGGAATGTGGAAATCATCTTTTATAAAAATAATTCTCATTTGCATTAAAAATCTAAAGATTAAGCATGGAAATACCTTTTTAAAATAACATCTAAATATGATTTGATATATCTGAAACCAATAATGGCAGTATTTGCAATGAAGAAATACAGAGCTATAGAATAAGTACAGGGATAATGCAAGGGTATTTCATATCTCTGTAATTTTGATCTAGTAATAGGAATGCTAGCTATAGTAATTAGAGAAGAGAGAGAAATAAGGTATAAACACCATTAAAGAACAGACAAAACTATGCCTGTTTTTAAGTAATGTTTCTCTTAGGCAACTCCAGATAATCCGCCCAGAAACTAAGCAATATGACTGATAACTTTAATAAAATGGCAGAAAACAAAGTATCCATATAGCACTAGTAAAAACTATAAGGAAATTATATAAAAAGAAATTATATTCAAAATAATTATGAAATTCATAAAATATCTAGTAAACAACTAGTAATAGTAGTACTACTAATAACTAGTATTTATACATTGCCTTAAGGTTTGCATAGCACTTAATAAATACTCTCTCATTTGATCCTTACAGATCCAGAAGAAATAGGTAGTGTTTTTATCCCCATTTTTTTGGGGGGTAGGCAATGAGTTTAAGTGGCTTGCCCAGGGTCACACAGCTAGTAAGTGTTATGTCTCTGAGGCCGGATTTGAACTCAGGTCCTCCTGACTCCAGGGCCGGTGCTCTATCCACTGCGCCACCTAGCTACCCCATCCCCATTTTTAAATGAAGAAATTGAGGCAGGTAGGAGTTAAGTGACTTGCCAACGTTCACTATTTCACAGTCAGTGTTTGAGAAAGGTTTTGAATGAACTTGGGTCTCCCTGAGTATAGTTCCAGCATTCTACTCACCCTGCCACTTAGCTTTCACACTTGGTATTTATTAAAGTACACACTCATGCTTATAAAAATCCTACAAAACAGTATTTATAGAAATAAAGAAAAACTTGTAATTGGAAAGATATTAATTGTTTATTGTTAGGCTAGGCAGGACAATATATATATATTTTAAATGAGAGTTAACAACTAAAATAGTTTGCAGATTTATGTAGGAAATATTAATCAAGGAATCAAGGAATTTCTTTATAGACCTTGCCAAAATAATAAGTAAGTTCATTTGGGTGAACAAAAGATTGTGAATTTTAAGTGAAATAATGAAAACAAAAAGGAATTACCAGATGTAAAGCTATATCAGGAGGTGGCAATCATGAAAGTGTTTAGGTACTAGCAGATTAGCTTAGCTGAGGAAGCAAGGTGGCACAGTGGATAGAGTGTCAGAGTCGGAGTCAGGAAGACCTGAGTTCAAATTCTGCCTCAGACACTTAATAGATCTGTAACCCTAGGCAAATCATTTAGCCTCTGCCCTCCTCAGTTTCCTCATCTGTAAAATAGCACCTATCTCCCAGGACTGTTATGTGTAGAGCATCTTGCAATCTTTAAAGTGCTTTATAAATAAATGCTAGTTATTATCAATATTGTTTGAGAAATCCAAGAACATATCTGAAAAGAATTGAATACTATTAACCATAGGAAAGAATGATCCAAATAAATAATAATAAGATAAATTCAAATTAAAATAACTTTGAAGTTTTTATTCATACTCAGAATATTGGCAAAGATGACATAAGACTGAAATAATGGATGTTGGAGAGGTTATGGAAAGACAGGCACATTTAATGCATTGCTGATAGAGCTATAAATTAGTACAACTCCTCTGGAAAGTAATTTGGTATTATGCAAATGAAGTGGATGAAACGTTCATACTCTCTGATTCAGAGATTCCATTTCTAGGCATATGCCACAATAGGGGGTCACTGATAAAAAGAAAGGTTCCATATACACAACATTATTTGTAGCAGCACTTTTTGTGGTAGCAAACAACTGGAAAAAAGGATAACCATTGATTTGGGAATGGCTAAAGAAATTGCCATATGTGGCTAAACAAATTATGGTACACAGATGATATGGATGATGATAAATTCACAGAAGTATAGAAAGACTTAGATGATCCTGTGCAAGATGAAGTGAGTAAAGGCAGGAAAATAATATACACAATGAACTAAACAATGTAAATATAAAGCACCAAATATATGTGTGTGTGTGTGTGTGTGTGTGTGTGTATGTGCGTGTATTTAAAAAGTGCTACTTAATTACAAAGAACAGGCTTATCTCCAAAGAAAAGAAATGAAAAAAAACTTCCCCTTTTCACTCTTTTCAGAGGTGGGAGACTTATGGATATAGAATGTTGCATATAATGTTGGATTTTTTAATGCATTGATCAGTTTAGCTGTTTTTTTCCCATCTCTTCTTCTTCCTGCACCCAAAAGGTTTTGTTATTAGGGATGATTCTCTTGGAAGGGGAAAGAAAAGGGAAAATCTAAGTGATATAAGAACAAAAGACATCAATAAAAATGTGCTTTTAAACAAGTCCCAAAACACAAACTTCTGGAGGAAGGAATCCCTGTATGATTTGGTTGGCACCAAAATGTATCAATTTAGAATTTTGCTCCACGTACCCCAATAGGTTTCAAATGTATAAGTGATATAAATATGAAAGATCACACACCATTTAATTAGCACAGTGTTTTGCACATAGTAGGTACTTAATAGATGTTTATTGATTGGTGAGAGATAAAATTGCAAACTGCCCCCCTATTCCTACATCCTACACAAGCTTAAGCATACCCTTTATGCTTAGGGGCCTCTTCTTACCCTGATGAATAGCCTTTCCATGTGCTGGAATCCTCTAAACATTGCCCTCACAGTGAGCCTCATCTAGAGGAACATAGCCCTCTCTGTAAGTCTCACTGTAGTGAAGTGAAGTTCACTGCACTTTTTCCTGCTATTCCCTTACTTTGGTTCCCTACAGTCATATGCTATTAATTTAGTTATCAATTGGTCCAACTATTTTGGAAAACAGTTTAGAACTATGTGAATGGATTTACAACAATAAGTTGCTAAGCTATTCACAACTGCTTACTCAGTGATCCTACTATTGGGCACACAGATGATGATGACAGAAAGGAAGGTCCCACAGATACCAAATTACTCCTAGCAATACTTTAAAAAAGTAACAAATACCTCCATACAAAATAGATGTCCATTGACTGGTAGTGGCTGAACAAATTAGGGTTGACGAATATAATGGAATAGCATATGATACGAAGCAATAAAAATGAATAATTCAGAGAAACATGAGAAAGCTTGTATGTGATGTGAGGGAAATGGAAAATGGAATCAGAGGAATAATATAACAGCATAAATGAAAACAATCTTAAAAGATATCTCTAAATTCAAATTAATTGCAATGACTATTGTTGTTCTGGAGGGCTGATGCTAAAACACACAGGGATAAAGAATGTTGAATATCTAATATTTCAAAAATATACAATAAGATATATAGATAAAGATATATATTGTATGTATATCATAAAGAACATATAATAACATAATATACTCATAATGTACCGTATAATATATATTACTGACTTGGAATTCATCTATCATAATTTGTAGGTGACTCAAGGGGAACTCATTTCACCTATAAAGTTTTACTTAAGCTGCAATTTGGATAAGATCCAAGTCATTAAAAATGTTGCCAAGAATGCTTTAAATCTTCAACAATCCCATTCTCCTCCTATATCTCCCTGAGACCTGTCACTTATGATAAAAAATTAGAAGAGAAATGACACACCTTTCATAACTATGTTACATAAGTGAGATGTTCTCAACCAAACAAGGGATTGAAACAATAACAAAAGGTAAAATACACATTTTTGTTTCAATGAAGTTCAAAAAGGTAATGCACAAACAATATTAATGCATCTAGGATAAGAAAGGAAGTGGTTGAATGGGGGAAATATTTGTTTCAAATTTCTCAGATAGGGGTTTGGTATCCAAGCTATATGGACAACTAACAGAAATCTATGAAATCAAAAGTCATTCTCAAGAGATGTCATCAAATGAAATAATATTTGTAAAGCACTTAGTACAGTGCCTGGCACATGGTAAACACTATGTAAATGCTATCTCTTACTATTATTGTTGCAGTTATTGAAGGACATGAACAAACAGTTCTCAAAAGAATAATTGCAAACTATTAAAGACCCTGTAAAAGGATGCTCTAAATCAGCACATATAAAAATAAAACAATCCTGAGGTTTCATGTCAAACCCAACAAATTGGCAAAGATGATAAAAGATGGGACTAATCAATGTTAGAGAGGTTGTAGAAAGACAGGTACACTTAATTCACTGTCAATGAAGCTGTAAATCAGTACAACCATTTTAGAAAGCAATTTGGAATCATTCAAAGTGGCTGAAATATCTGTACTTCTTTTTGAGGGGGGTG